CATCCACACGTCACCCGTGGCGGCTCCCGACGGGCACGAGCCGGCGGTGCCTGGCCCCAGGCGCAGCCCGAGTCCGACGAACAGGCCCCCTGCCCCCTGGCGGAGCCATGCACGGGAGCTTTACAGGACGGGGTGGGGCTGGAGGGGGCCTGGGGGCGTCAGGAGAGGGGGCCTTGGGGGTGCCTCGGGAGCGGTCCCTCAGGCCACTGTCAAACTCTGGAGTGACATCTGGGGTCAGAGTGCGGCCCGCCCGCGGCCCCCCATCCCACCAGAGGGCCTCGGGTCCTGGGCAGGAACTTCGGTCACTTAGGGAGGGCCGGGCAGGCGGGCGGATGCCCGCGGAGTCTCTCCAATGTCACTTAAGACCCGGCTCTGCGGGGGAGACTCGCCACCTCCGGCTTCCCCAGCCCCAACGCCGGCGCTGCGGGGCCTGCGGGGAGCCCCGGCCGGGGGTGGACTCACCCCCTCCGACTTCTTGTCGGGGAAGACACAGGTGGCCCCGCCGCCCGTGAAGTTGCAGTAGACCTTGAAGGAGTCCCGGGAGCAGCCTTGGTTGGGGTCCACCCAGTATTCACCTGCATCACAGACGGGGACCGGTCAGTGGGGCTGCCCTGGACGCCCATCCAGCCCGTCTGGCCGAGAATGTGCGAGGGAGGGGCCCCCGCAGGGCAGCCAGGCAGAGAAGCCGGAGGTAACCCGGACGCCCACGCACGGGGGCAGTGGCCGGACCACCGGGCCCGCCCACGGGAGAGGCCCACGCTTCACCCGGCAGGGGCAGCGTCTGGCCAGGGGCGGGGTCTGTCTCGGCGACGCTCCGAGGCCGAGCCGAGCCTGTACCCCAGCAGTGCGGCCCAGCACCCCACGCCGGGCTCACCGTCGGCTGTCCCGGCAGGGGCTGGGTTCTCACCCCTTCGAGATGGGCAGGGCCGCCGGCCAAGGGGCGGCTGGGCCCAGCCCTGACCCATCTCTGAGCAGGCCGCCGGCCAAGGGCGGCTGGGCCCAGCCCTGACCCATCTCTGAGCAGCCTCAAAGCCTTGGCCTCCGCCCGGTGGCCACCGCCTCCTCCACACGAGGCCCCCGGCTCCGAGGGCCCACGCGCCACTGTGCCAGCCGGCCCCGCCCAG